TTCTTTTTCTCTTGCTGCAGGACCCGTACAACACATGCGTGCCGCACGACGATAGAGGCGATGCGGCATTGTTCGGCGGCCACCCAATCCGCGTGCCACACAAACTCGTTCGACGAGCGCTCGGCCGCCAACGAGCCACAGCCGCCCGCATTGCACGCAACACGCAGGTGGTCCTGCAGGAGGAGTCCGGAATCCGGAAAGTAAGCGGCGTGTCGCGTGGGGGGGTTGAGCGAACGACACGGGGGGATGAGCTGAGGCAAAGCCGTGGTGGCACCGTGGGGGAGGTCCTGACCTGATGTTAATACATGGTGTGTTCAACATTGCCTGCAGTGGTGGACCGTGGAGAGTCCTACCTATCGTTAATGGACACTTGTTCACATTGCTGCGAGGGTTGGTGATCCCGTGGGAGGTTCCTACCTGAGGCTTAATGACATTGTTCACGTTTGCCTGCAGTTGGTGGGACCCGTGGGAGGTTCCTACCTGAGAGTTAATGAGCATTAGTTCACATTTGCTGCAGGTCGGTGGATCCAGGGGAGGTTCCTACCTGATGTTTAATACATTGTTCCACCGCTTGCTGCAGTTTGGTGGACCCGTGGAGGGGCCTGACCGTGAGACGGTACGACACGGACGGACGAGTCAAGCGATTCTACAAGCTGCATCTGTACTAGTGTCAGATGAGCTATGAAAATTTCCAGCAGCTTGTCATCACTATTCGTGTCACGTATATTCTAGTGTTGGCTACGGGTTCTCTTAACATCGAGCTGAGGTTAGCGTGTACACTATTTCAGGAGTCAACCCGCTGTTGCGGAGATGATCTGCTCAAGGGGTTGTCAAACTGCCTGAGCAAAGTAAAGCGATTACCCCTGTCTCTCACTAATGAGTCGTGACTGTGTATTAATAAGTTTAGGACGATCAGACTTCTTTGACAGAGAGGTTCTATCAGGTAACGTATCGCTCTGAGCAGATAGAGTTAGCATTGATGGACCCGTTTGGGGATTGAACTGGTTTCCTTGACCTGATTGGTAGAGTGTAGCGACTTTGGTTTCATACTCGTAACGTAGTCTGTTGCTAGTAGAACAGCGAGATGGTTTTGGTCAAATCTCGGCGGGGAGGTGGTATTCTTTCCAAATGGGGCGTCAGAAGACGGGTGTGGATGATAAAAGGTGAGACCCAGGGGGCGGCACTGCGTCTTATAGCCATGGCTTCTGGCATACGTAGCTCTGGGTGTGATATGGACCCGCGGGTGATGGGAACTGTCCCGGAAAGCTCTTCCTCTGCAGCGGCGCCAATGCACTGCTTGGTGTTAGTGACAAGATGGCGGGCACGTTGATTGGGAGGCCTTCAGGAGTCTCCGCTTTTAATGGGTGAGAATCTTTTCTTGAGCCGTCTCTGTTCCGTCAGCAACCATATTGCATGACAGCATAATAATACGGTTCCATAGCCTTTGATGTATAATGACCTGGGTTGCGATGTGCAACGTTGTGCAGATGGACTGTTATTCATTGTCCGCAATGTTGTACGAGCGATAAAGTTCTTCCCATGCATCGTACAGCAATCTCTGTCATGTATTTAATCGTAACATTATTTGTGCACGTATGCTGCATGGTGGTGGGACCGTGGGGAGGTTCCTACCTGATGTTCAAATGACAATTGTTCACTGCTGCAAGGTGGTGGAACCGTGGGGAGGTTCCTACCTTGATGTTAATGACATTGTTTCACGTTGCTGCACGGTCGTGGACCCGTTGGGAGGTTCCCTACCTGATGTTAATGACCTGTTCACGTTGCTGCAGGTGGTGGAGCCGTGGGAGGTTCCTTACCTGATGTGTTAATGATTTGTTCACGTTGCTGCAGGTGGTGGACCCGTGGGGAGGTTCCTAACCTGATCGTTAATGACAGTGTTCAGCGTTCTGCAGGTGGTGACCCGTGGGGAAGGTTCCTACTCTGATGGAGACCCTTTACCGATGAGATGTTTGTTGCAGCAGCAAGGACAGCGTTGCTTGAGGGTTGGCAGGAGAGAGCATTCGAACCGTGTGGTCAACAGTAAGCCTCAAAAGGGAGTTTTTCTGGTACCTCTGACCTGCCGAATTATTTCTGGTGTAGTAGTGGCGGGAGCGAGGGGCTGGTGGAAATATCTAAGACATGTACATACGTTGAATTCATAAGCGGGTATAGATAGTAGACTAATAAGCTGGAGTTCATCACTACTGGAAACTGAAGTCGAAGTGAACTATTGGTTTTACCTTTTTTTACGTTGCTTTTGTGGCCATTTCTAGCCCCATTCTGGGGGGACGCGCTGCAACCGTTGCTCCTGTCTCTGTATATTCACGGACATGAAAACCTGATCACGGTGCTCTAAACCCCTGAACAATATATGTGACAGTTACAGGTCAGGCCGACATGCGGTCAGCACTGATATATTTGAGCACATTTCGAACGTCTTTCATGGTCGTGACGTAAAGAGGGTGTAGAGTTTAGAGATTACCAGTGCGACGATGCACGAGTGGACTGCAAACCATCCTGCAACATGGTTGGACTTGGATACTTGTCCTGGACTTAGACAGTCACCGATTACACCGCACGTTTCCCTTGTACAGGTGCAGCAGACTCTGGCGGCATTGACCGAGTGTGCGATGACTGGGCAGGGCAGTCTAACTGAGGGTGCCGTGGACTGTGCACGGGCACGCTGTACAGTCGGAGAGATCACCGCAGCACTGGAGAAGGTGATTGCCTTCGTTAGATGTCAAGGAAGCTCCAGTTCGCGCGACACGTGGTTGTATTGACATGTTTGCTGTGCTAGTGTTGACAAGATTGATATGCTAGTGTTGACAACACATGGTTGTCTTGACAAGCTTCCTATGCTAGTGTTGACACCATGTGGTTGTGTTGACATGTTTGCTGTGCTAGTGTTGACACCACGTGGTTGTGTTGACAAGATTGATATGCTAGTGTTGACACCACGTGGTTGTGTTGACAAGATTGATATGCTTGTGTTGGCACCACGTGGTTTCTAGTGACAAGCTTGTTGTCTTCCCTGTAGGTCTTCTCTCGTCACATCTCGGCTGACATGATTGCCGTGACGGGAGCCGACCATCACGACGAGCTGGGAGTGTCCTCTGAGATGGATCACGTCATTCGCAGAGTGGAGGTCAGTTTGTACAAGATGCAGTAAGTAAGTCAGGAGACGGTGTGTACTAAGACACGAACATGTTGCGAGCAGAGCAGCGCTACTCATAGAAAGCTACGTCTGAAACGACATTCATAAATAACCTGCATACCAGTATACTTGTAGAAAGCTCAGCCTCAAATGATGACTGTGAATAACCAGCATTCTAGTATATACTTGTAGAAACCTTCACCTCAAATGATGACTATGAATAACCTGAATTCCAGTATACTTGCACACCTGCCCATTCTATCCTGTTTATTGTCTCACTCTCGCATCTGGGTGTATCTCTCACCGCATGCAGTCCGAGATGCAAGTCCTGTGCACAATGCATAGAAATAATACACTAGTTAGACTAGTGTCTCGCTATATTTCTATTGCACAGTGGCATGTTATGGTATTTGTCTCTTGTTGGTAGAAGTTCCTGGAGCATGAAGGGAGAAGGCCGAGACTGCTGATTGCCAGCATGGGTCAGGGAGGTTACAACCGCATCGCAAAAGTCATGGCCACCAGCTTTGCGGATTTAGGATTCGATGTGGATGTCGGGGCCTTATTTCAGGTAGATCTTACCATATATATATATATTTATATCAAGAGTAGATAATAGGAGAAGAGTATGGCATCGTTTTAACAGCGTTTTGCATAGTTTTCAACTTGAAAATATTCTATCAATATGTGAATGAATATATTCAAACATTACCCTGTTTTCCGTCTATGATTCTCTTAATCATATGACACCACCAATTTACCTGAAAATCGTATGTCTTCTTCAAAAAAGTTATTTGAATACGACACAGTTTCACACAGTTTTCCCAACCATTCGCATCTTAGCGGCTAAAGTTTATTATCGGATTAGTGTTCTATTGTCTATGACGGAACGCTGGGGGCACGCAGACACACACACGCACACACGCGAGACCGCACACGCACGCACACACACCACACACACACACACACACGCACACACACACGCATTCACTTTACATGGTCTGGCCTTTGTTTAACTCGCAGACGCCGGAGGAGGTGTCACAGCAAGCCGTCGATGCAGACGTCTACGCCGTGTGCGTCAGCTCACAGTCTCAATCAACCGACCATCGCACCATGGTGCCTCGCCTCATGCAGTGTCTCAACGCCATGGGCAGGCCGTAAGTCGTCTCACGCTGTGGAAATGTCTAGTACTAGCAACATCTAACGACAGACTTTGACACAGACACGGGGAAATGGAATGTCTATACTAGGCAACATCTAATGACAGACTTTGACATGGGGAAATGGAATGTATATACTAGCAACATCTAACGACAGACTTTTGACACGGGGAAATGGAATGTCTATACTAGGCAAACATCTAATGGCAGACTTTGACACGGGGAAATGAATGTATATACTAGCAAACATCTAATGGCAGACTTTGACACGGGGAAATGGAATGTCTATACTAGCAACATCTAACGACAGACTTTGACACGGGGAAATGGAATGTCTATACTAGCAACATCTAACGACAGACTTTGACACGGGGAAATGGAATGTCTATATACTAGCAACATCTAACGACAGACTTTGACACGGGGAAATGGAATGTCTATACTAGCAACAATCTAATGACAGACTTTGACACGGGAAATGGAATGTCTATATATACTAGCAACATCTAAGCCGACAGACTTGACCGGGGAAATGGAATGTCGTACTAGCAACATCTAACGACAGACTTTGACACGGAAATGGAATGTCTATATATACTAGCAACATCTAACGACAGACTTTGACACGGGGAAATGGAATGTCTATACTAGCAACATCTAACGACAGACTTTGACACGGGGAAATGGAATGTCTATATATACTAGCACATGTAACACAGACTTTGACACGGGGAAATGGAATGTATACTGGCAACATCTAACGACAGACTTTGACACGAGCGAAATGGAATGTCTATATATACTAGCAACATCTAACGAGCAGACTTTGATAGCGGGGAAATGGAAATGTCTATATACTAGCAACATCTAACGACCAGACTTTGACGCGGGGAAATGGAATGTCTATACTAGCAACATCTAACGACAGACTTTGACACGGGGAAATGGAATGTCTATATATACTAGCAACATCTAACGACAGAAGACTTTGACACGGGGAAATGGAATGTCTATATATACTAGCAACATCTAACGACAGACTTTGACACGGGGAAATGGAATGTCTATATATACTAGCAACATCTAACGACAGACTTTGACACGGGGAAATGGAATGTCTATACTAGCAACATCTAACGACAGAACTGACGGGGGAATGGAATGTCTATATATACTAGCAACATCTAAACGACAGACTTTGACACGGGGAAATGGAATGTCTATATATACTAGCAACATCTAACGACAGACTTTGACACGGGGAAATGGAATGTCTATATACTAGCAACATCTAACGACAGACTTTGACACGGGGAAATGGAATGTATATACTAGGCGACATCTAAGCGACAGACTTTGACAGCGGGGAAAATGGAATGTCTTATATATAACTAGGCAACATCTAACTACAGACAGACTTTGAACAGCGGAAATGGAATGTCTATATACTAA